GGCGCGCGATGAATAAGTTACAATGCAAGACATCCTGGCCTGCAGCGCGCCCGTTCAGCTAAACCGCGAGCCGAAATGCGACTCCGAGGCCCTTCCGCGTGGCGGTGGCGGTGCAGCCGGGCGAGCCGGGGGCGCGGCGGCCCAGCCGTGGCTGTATGGATTATTGGAAGCTTGCGTAAAATAAAAGGGCCCGTGCCGGGGGCGATGTGCAAGCTTTTGGCGAGCGAGTGTGCGCGAGTGCGTGCAGAAATCTGCGGCGATAAATAATATTCCCCGGGAGCGTTCGCCGCGCGCCCCCACCCGTTCCCACCCCAGTCTCTATCTCTCTCGTGCGTGACGCCGCCCCCTGCAGCCCCCGCGGCCGTCTGCTGCTGAAACCTGAGACGTTGACTGTCTCTATTTCCCGCCCATTATTGTCGCGATTCTCGCGCTGCAAGCCCCGCTCCGCTCATTATCCCCGAGAAAGTGCCTTCTTATTATTATCATTAGCATCATTTCGGGAAAACCCAGTTTCCGGTCCGCGCGCCGCTTCCGCTGCAATCCACTCCGGGCTGGCGCTGGGCTGGCGCTGGGCTGGCGCTCGATTAGGGGACATTAGGCGCCATCGCCGGGCCGCTGGCTGCCGCTGGCTGCCGCTCTGCCGGCTGACGTGAAACACAATAAGACAACGCTCTGCTTTAGCCTGGGAAACGCGCGGAAATGCTGCTTTACGGGGCGAGAGAAACAAAATGACGGACTAAAGTGAAAAACAAAACATTAAAGCTTGCGCGCGCGCTCGCTCTGCCCTGCAGAGCGTGTGAGGAGGAGGAGGGGGTGGTGCGGGTGGTGCAGGGGCGGCGGCCCTCGAGCGGAGCAAGGCGGCGCTCTGGCTGCCTGAAGGAAGGAAAGTGTAACACTGCAAAGTGCTTGGCGCCGTTAATGACAGCTCGACAAATCTTTGTTAAGGCGGGCTAGAAAGAGGGGGGGAGCAAAAAATGTGAGAAGCCGGCAGGAAAATGATAAAGAAAAAAACAAAATTCTCGGCGGCCTGCCCCAGATTTGACATGGTGGTTGCGCGCCGCGTGGCTTATTGTCTTATGTTCGCACTCCAGCCAATCCTGGTAGTGTTTCGCTCGCGCTGTCCTCGGCGCCCTAGACCCTCGCGCGCTCGGCCGGCCACGCCCAGCTCGGGGCAGACCGCCAGTAAACCGTTTGGCCGCGCGATAGCAAGAATTATCACGTCCTGCCCGAGAAATGGGAGGGAGAGAGAGGAACGGAGAGAGAGGGACAGAGACAGCAGGAGAATGGAGAAGGGAAATGGTCGGGCAGAAGCAATCTGCCGCAACTGGACCAACAAGATTTATGTCGGCTTGGGTCGGTTTCGCCGATCTCCTTCCTGTGCCCCCGCCGGGCCCCCGCCCCCTGCGCGCGAGCTGCTGCTGCCGCTGCTGCGGACGGCGACTCCTCCTTCGAGGACCCCCTCCGTCTCGGAGCGCCGCCAAGCGCCCGCCAAGCGCCAGGGCGGCGCTGCAGGGGCTGGGAGCTGTTCGCAGGGTTATTTGTGTGCGACTCTGATAGGGAATTACCGACCCGCGGCGCGTTTTGTTCAGCTGTAACGACTGGGGGCCGTGCAGTGCAGGAGTTGCCGTGTGTTGTGCAGGATAACCCGGATACGCATTGCGGGCCCCGCCCCGCTCCGCCCCGCCCCGCCCCACCCCGCCCGCTCCATTTGGCGGCGAGTGCTCCGCGCTCCTCGAGGCCCCGCCCCTTCGGCCGTGATTTCCAGCGCCACTTAGGGCGAGGCGCCATTTACCCGCCGACACGTTCGTCTGATGCACTGCACCTGTCCTGCATCCCTTCTCTTCCCCCCTCCCCCCACCACGCCCCCTGGTCCTGGTCCTCCTGGGGCTAGGGGGGTGGGGGGTGCACCCGGCACGGCTGCCGCCGCCGTTGCCGCTGCTGTCAAGTACAACTAGAAATTGAGTTTGAGTTGCAGCGCTTGCCGGCCCGCCGCCGCCGCCACTCCCGGGGCCTCTGGTTCGATTACGGGCCAAGTTTTTAGTGATTTAGTTACACGGCTGTTGAACCGCCGAGGTCAGCAAATCGTATTGGAGGGTTTCGCAAACAGGAGGGGGGTTGGGGGGAAGGAAACAAATGTTGTCGGGCTGCAAAGTGCGGCGACTGACGACGCGGAGACTGAGATGAGGATGAGGCTTTCACGGGGCGCCTTATCTCGATCATTACGGTCAGCGCCTCCCCCTCCCCTCCGCTCCCCCCATCTCCCTGGCGACCCCCGCCCCCTCTCCCCCTGCCTCCATGCGCCAGTCTATGGTGAATAATTTAGCACATCTTAACGCAATTTGCATTGCAGCCCCGCTCCTGTTCCATTAGCGCACATGGGGATGTAAGACCGCGATGAGGTAATCTCCTCCGCTTCCCGCTTCCCGTCGTCGCACAGCGCCCGTCTGACCGAAGACGCAGAAGATCCCACAAATTTAATAAATTGCTAATATGCTTCCTCGTTCTCTGTGACCTAGCGGGATCTTAGTGCCTGTATTTCGACATCATACTTATTTTCCAATAGACCAATGAATCTTCTTCTTCTTCTTCTTCTTCTTCTTCTTCTTCTCTCGTGTAGTGCCCCAACTTGAATGCGACAAATTTCTAGCCAGTGTAGCAGGTGTTGTAGATCAGATTGGCAAAGACTAACTCACCACATACGAACCATTAATATTCACGCCACCGCCACCACATCACGTCCTTCCCTTCCCCTCACCTCCCCCTCTCTCCCCCCTTCTCCCCCTCCCCTCCCGCCTCCCGCTCTTGTTGGGATGTTTATGATTTTTAATTCCCTTTGATGAGTCGGGCGGAGGGATTTCTATTACTGGCCGATAGTGTTACGGCGCTGGAGCGGAGCGGCCCGCTTCTGTTCCTTCGTCACGAAAACCTCTAACTCGATTCGCCGATGCGGCTGGGTCACGGGCGAGGCCGGTCCCGGCAGCGTGAATCGAGGCGCTGTGCTGGCCCGGCGGCCGCGCGGTGGCCGATCCGAACGCCCCGCGGCGGCCCCCCGCTCGCATCGACCGCCGGCGAGGCCTGCTTCACCTCCTGCAGCATCTCTGGAGGCCGGCGGCGCGGGCCCCCACCACCTCCACGGCGCGGAGTTGGGAAGCACGCTGCCGGGCCCACCAGAGGGGGGGAGGGGGAGGTGAGCGCGGTTTGATGCCACTGAGGGAGAGTGAATCGGAAGGGGCTAACAAGGAGATAGGATAGAGCGGAGGGGAAAGGGGGGGGGGCGGCGGCCTGATGGGGGTTAGCCTGGCGACGTGAGGAGCAGGCCAGGGCCAACCGGCCCCGTCGCGTCGGGCAGCGCGTTTTACTTTGTATCTCCTCTCCCCCGACCTCCTCTTGCTTGGACTCGGCCCCCAGGCCCGGCCGCTGCAGTGCGAGTGCGCCCAGGCCCAGGCGGGGTCAGCCCCGCGGCCCCGACCGCCCCGGCGGACACCTGAGGCGGGCGGGTCTGCCTATCCTCACGGCGCTCCGCTACGCCGCTGGCCCTGGCCGCCCGGGCTGGCTCCGCGCGCGCTTCCTGCGCCCCCAAAACACCAACAATCACATCATGAGCCTTGTGGCTGGGTAGGGGGCGGGGGGAAGGTGCGGAAGGCTTAACGAGCAGATTGGGAGCAGGGGAAGAGGGGGAGGTGTGTGAGGGAGCACGGTATCTAACGACTTGATTGGCGAGGGGGAGACCGGCAGGCGGGGCGAGGGGTCACCCTAATGGTTCTTATCACCTCTCTCTCTCTCTCTCTCTCTCTCTCTCTCTCACTCACTCACTCACTCACTCACACACACACACACACACACACACACACTTTTTTCTCTCTCTCTCCCTCTTTCTGCGAAATAATTTGCCATGTACTCTGCATACTGTGTCATACCTACCATCTTTGAATTTTAAGTTAAAGAGCCATTTACTCAATGTACAACATCGCACTTAATTTTTTAGGTTGATACTCCCTAAACGTGAGCGCGATTCACACGCCAGGCGCGATCTTTACGCCCGGCGTGATGAAAGTCGGTTCCTTATTGGCTGCATGAAGCTTACAGAGCGTGAAAATCACGCCTGGCGTGAGAATCACGCTTGCGTTTCGTGAACTCTGTATCCACACTTAACCTGCTTAAACTGCTTTGGACTTGTTTTCTATTCTTACCATTCTGATGGTACTCTATTTGGACCATCAGTCCTCTTGTACCTCTTATTAATAAAATCAGTCAATCAATCAATCAATCAATCAATCAATCAATCTCTCTACTTCCACTGAAATACCTTGTTCGAAGAGGGAGAGTTTTGCACGCCATTGGTTTTTTTACTGTTAGCACGCCCATTCTGCGGGATTTTTTTTATCCGAGGCACCAGAAAAATCTTTCTTCGGTAGTGAGGCTTATTTCTCTCTGAATCGAATCAGAGATGAGACGATGACACAACAATCAAAAGAGTGAGGTGAACGGCACTCAATGTCATTTGGCAATAAGCAGGAACACTTCTTTTCGTCATTTCGCGCTTTCTCAAGGCAAGGCAGCTAGCTTCGCTCTCAACCTCACCCAATGTTTTTTTTCCCGTCCTTGTCCGTTTTTCCTCACCCTCTCCTCGCTCTCCCATCTCGTTTAACGAGAACGCAGCAGCTACTGTTTGCCGCGCGCGGGTACATGGCGGACCGATGGCCGCTGGCGCTTTGGTCTGCACCTTTTAGCGGGCGCGCAGCGCCACCACCCCCACTCCGCGGGGCGCCACCCCCGCCACGCCCCGCCACGCCCCACCTCGCCACGCCCCGCGGCGCCTCGCCTCGCCGCTGTGATTGGCCGCACGGCTTTGCCTTCCGCAGGCCTCGGCTCTCGCTTTGCGGGCCTTTGCCTCTCGTCATAGCCTGATCGATAGGGGGCCGGGGCCGGCCTGGCCGCGCTGGCCGAGGTCCACCAGGCCGCGGAGTCTAACTCGATTGTACGCGGAGGTGTGAGCGGAATGCTGCTGGAGGATAGACCTTGTTTTGCCATGGATCCACCAGCAGTTTCAAAAAATATAAAAAAAAAAACACAAAAAAAATAAAATACATAGGGTCTAGAAAAAAATTACAGCTTCTGCTTTTTCGTGTTTTTTCGAACTTGTCTTTAATGCGTTGTACTTATATTTTATTTTAGATATACATTATTGTGCAGGGCTCCAAAGCGGGGCCCTACATTACACCGAGGTTCCAGTTAAATTGTGCGCAAGTATTTTCTACTTTGCACGGCAGGGAATATATAAATACCACTCTCATAAGCTCGTCGTGGTGAGCGAAGATTAAAATAAATTATCACAAAACAAATCCTTTTGTTGACTATTCACTCTAGATCATGTAATATATATTTAGAATAGTGAAAATCGAAGGGGTTTAAGAAACTTTAAAGCACATCCTTTTCTCCTCTTGACAAGCCTTATGATCTGTTAGAGCAGTACAGTGACAGACACACGACTGGTGAGAAAAAGATTTACAAGGAAACATGAAGTACACCACGAAATCATTGTTTTTCTCTACGTGGATAGTGCAAAACGTGACTAAATAACAATGGCGTTGACAACCAAATTTATCATGTTTAAAGCATGAAGCCTGTTGCAGAAAGCCGCAAAGCACTTTTAGTACCATAACAAGACAATAAGAACTAGAATGTTCATCACAACTACATATCACATACACAGCTTTCAATTATTGGTATACACTTACGAGCCCTACGAGCTCAACAAACTCGACTCGACCTTTCGGTCACTTTGGTACGTAATACATTTGTAGCAAACCATTATATTTGCATACTGGAATGTCGAGATTCCATCAATGCAGCCCGCAGATCGGGGCTGCTGCGATTTTTGTACTCATCCATCGCGGTGCCTAAAGTCCAGCGCGCCAGAAGATTATTCAGAGGGCGTCGTGTTTTCCCCCGTGGCCGGCGCAGCGGCGCGCAGCGGGCCTCTGCGCTGCGCTGTTCCTGCCCCGCCCGTCTGTCCATCAGGCGGCAATCCGATCAATCAGTAATCGCATTTACGCCGCCCGCAAAACTAGTAGACTTGAGGGGGGAGCGGGGCAGGCTGTCAAGGGGCTCCAACCGGCGCGCTAGTTGTGCCAACTTATTTCGAATGGTGCGCTTAGGCACGCAGGGGCGGCGAGGGCGCCGGCGCCGGAGTGTGCGGCGCGGAGGCGGCGGCCGACGCCCCGTCCTGGGCCGGGCGGTGCAGCGCGGCGTACTGCAGGCCGAGCGAACCTCCCAACGAGCCTCCCAGCGAGCCACCGAGCGAGCCGCCGAGGTGCCCATTGAACAGCCCCAGCGCGGACAGGGGCAGCTGTGGCAGCTGGTACATTGTGTGGAGGCTCTGTACAAATAAAGAGAAGCAAGACGTCAAACATTTTCACAATTTTGTTTGAAATTTGTAAGTTAAATTCTAAAAATGAATTTTTTAGTGAGGAAAACGAACATTGAAATAAGATTTGTTTTCTCACCTGCAGCAGCGCCGCCTGATGCTCCTGCGCCTTCCGCCGCAGCTCCGCCACGGAGGAGGACCGCTGCTGGTCGGGGGAGGCTGCGGCTGGGCGGCAGGGTGGCGGCTCAGGCTGCGGGGGCGGCTGGGGGTGGGGTGCGGGGGCGGGGCTGGACGGCGCACCCGGCGGTGGCGGCAGCAGCCCTAGGGGCTTCATCGGGCAGCAGGCGCACAATCCTGGAAAGGCTGCAACAGACCAAAGCAACGACTCAATGATGGGCAGGGCGCCTTCGTCCATGCTATGATGAGATTGTGTTTTGTCATTAATATCCCAACCCCTTTCTCTTTATCTGAGCACACATGCAGCCGTCTTTAGTTGGTGCGGTCTCAGGTGACAATCCATCCTCGGAGCGATGCGAATCAAAATTGACGACGTACTTCTCAACCCTTTTATCACTGTACAACCACGTGACGCCTCGTTTTCCATTGTTCTTCACCTTAACCAACTGTTCTGTTCCGATCTGGGTAATGCACGGGGCTTCTATTACTCATCGTCTACAGAAGTAGCATGGGCTGGGGGTTCTATTGCTCGTCGCCTAGATGGGTAAGACTGCTAAAAAAATGTTATTAAAATTCATAACGGTTTTGATATTAATTTCAATACTGTAACATTCGTGATGTCATAACCTTGTTGTAAAAAGTAGCAACAGCAACCCTATGAAAATTCATAGACGTAAAATTTAAGATTCGTTGTGACTTTTCCTTGCCAATTTCTGACTTTTTACTACATGTCATGACTTTTCATAAACGATTGTGAGTTTTCATAATTGTTATGTGTTTAAAAAAAACTAGTAATACACTAGTAATACACATTCCCGAGGGTTCTATGGCTTGCGACCTGCAGGTGTAGCTTAAGCAGGCAAAGGGTTATTTTCATCATAGCCATCAGGGTCGGTCCTGGAAGTTCTGTTGCTCACCACCTACAGCGTAGCCTTGCAGCCAGAGGGTTCCTTTACTCATCGCCTACAGGGTCGTGCCCGAGGGTTCTATTGCTCACCGCCTGCGGGTCCGAGCCCGGCCCAGCGGCCCAGCGGGCCCAGCCGCTCAGCCGGCCCCAGTGTCTCTACGGTCACACTCCAATTTGCCAGCGCCATTAGTCTGCGTTACAATTGCTGAAAGATGAATTCAGAGGGTGGCAGCGGGAGTGGCTGCTGCTGCTATTGCTTTGCTGCTGGGCGTCGCTGAGGAGGGAGGGGAGGGGGTTTGTGGTGGCAGCCGAGATGAAATTAATTCTCGTAGCGCTCCGAATCAACTTACGGCCCAGCATCACACCTGAGCTCGGGACTGAACCGCCCGCGGGGGGTCTCCTCCCCCCCTCCCGTACCGCTCTTCCCGTGCCACCCCCCCCCCTTTTCTCCTGCTACAAGTTTGCGGGGGGTGGGTCGGACGGGTTGAGCCCGGCATTGCTGTGTTCCATTCTCATGCAAACATGGAATTTGCGGCCGGCCTAGCCTCACAATCCTGCCGAAGCACATTGCCGAGCGCGGTGGCGGCGGGCCATGATGTGAAGGAGTAAATATCAAACGGGGTCGATAATGCCGTTTCTTCCGGCAGGAGGAAGCGAGAGAGAAAGGGAGAGAGATGAAGATGGAGTGACGGGACTATGTTTCGGGCTCGCTTTCCGCGCTCCAGTCGGGGCTTCTGGACTGATCTCGTTTCTGACAGGTGGACTCGTCAGCTCGTATAAGCTGGAGAGCGGCGGCGCGCGCCCCCACGCGCGGGCGCTCTCTCCAGAGCCACGGGGCGGGCTGCTCCAGCGGGGCTCCGGAGGGGCTCCGGAGGCGCTCCAGCGGGGCTCCAGCGGGGGTCGTTTCGGCCGAGAGATTTATCCCTGACACGAAGGAAATCACCTGCCATTTTGTGCCTGATGATGGGAGTGCATGCTTGTTGGCCTGGGGGGGATGAGCTGAGCTGGCTCCGAGGGGTTAAGAAGGCCTCGTCTATTTCTTGTGTCGGAGAAAACCCGGCGTTTTCCACTTTTATTTTATCATCGTAAAACCGACGACGAAACAGCGCAAACTATGTTTTCTGAAGGAAGCACATTGATTGCCTATCGCGTGGCTGGGGTGTGGCGGGGAGGGGCGGGCTGGGGCGAGCACCAGGTGTCCCCGACTCGCTTCTTTCTGACATGGAGCGGAGCGGCGGAGCGCTACCACAATGTAATATAGCCGTGTAACGCAATAGAGCCCACCTCACAGCCCGCGCGCGTGGCGGGGCGGCGCCGCCAGTCCGACCCATATTATCATAAATTCTTGTCTCGCTATGGCCGCCCACCCCCTCCCTGTCACCGGGAATATCGCAGGCCGTCGCTCCGCGTTAGAGGGCGGCGGGATTGGGACAAACACCTACTTGAAGCGGATCTAGTTCAGCGCTGGAGGATATATCCGGGATAGATCCGGCCTCGTGATCCAGTCGCGCTCGCGCTCCACCCTCTCCGCTTTTTCCTGGTGGCTAGCAGTCCGCGCCAGACACTCGACGGAAACTTTTTTTTTAACCTTTCTTGTTACTTTTCTGACGTCCAGGCCAAAGGGACGCGTCGCGTCTTCCTGCGAATTACACTTTAATGTAATATGGTGCGGTGTTCTGTTTCACTATCGTTTATTGCATCCCATCACTCCGCCTCTTTCTGCGGGTCTCTGAGGACCTGCTGCCGCCACCCCTCCCGTGCTCTCACTACTTCTCTCTCAGTCCCGCTGACTTGCTCGCTCTCCCCCTATCTCCCTCTCTCGCCCGCCTCGCTGCTGCCGGGAGCACAGAAGGCAACCCCTCCGCTCCCTTTGAAAAGCCCGCCGCTCCCTCGGACAATTTTTATTGACACATCAAATCGACCCTCAACCCCCCTCAAAATAAATAGAGTACGTGGGGGTGGCCGGGGCGGCCCGTTACAATAAGATTCTCTCCCACCTGCGCTGGTCAGCTCTCACTACCTGCTGATGCACTCACTTCATGCTAATGCGTTCAGCACTCACTACCCGCTAATGCGGTTTGCTGACCTCACGGCCGCCCCCTTTGCGAGTGCCACTTCCCGAGGCACGGCACCCCCTCCCCCCTCTGCCCCCGCCCTTCTCCTTCAGGCCGACTGACTGAGGTGCCGTGTGTAAGCAACGGCCGGAATTGCAGAATCGAATTATGCGCTATGAAATTTGTATCATGACTGTGAGAGAGATGGGGTAACCGGATTATAGTGGATGAATTATGAAAACCGGCGTTGGCAGGAGCGGCAGTGGCGCCGCCGCCTGGCTGTTCGGCGCGGCCGGCCTCAGGCCCGGCCTCGGGCCCGGCCCCCGTGCGCGCACGGCCAAGTACTTCTCAAGTTTCCTTTTACCAATTTGCGTGAGGAGAACCCCGAGAGGGGAAGGGAGAGGGGGAGAAGAGGGGCGGGTGAGAAGGTAGGGCCGGCGGGGTGGGGCGGCAGCTCTGACTGTCCAAACTGGAAAACAATAACCTCGTTACTTATGGCGGCAGGTGAAAGGCCCCTCTGCTGCGCCAAGGTCGGGACGAAGACGGAGGTGAAAGGCCGCCCAACGAAGGGGAGGGGGAGGGAGGCACCCTGCGACACACGGCTGGACTGCATAAGTGTAGAGACCATACATAAGTGGGCGGCGAGACGAGTGAGAGCCTACCAGACGAGTCAGTATTTTAAGGTTAGCATTGAAATTTTAGAGTGTAAAGCTGTACACGCTTCCTTGTTAAACTCGGTTGAACTTAATTTCGAGACTCAAAAAACACCTCTTGCACCCATAGTATTATTCGTCGTTTGATGTTGCCTACCTTTTAGGCCGTGGAAGCCCAGCGGAGAGCTGAACTGCGAGCCGAGGTGCGGGCCGAAGTGCGTCGGGAAGAAGAAGGGCGGGCTGCCGCGGTGGGTGCCCTGGCCGAGGCCCTGGCTCAGGCCCTGGCCCAGCTGGCCGCCGAGGGAAGGCGGCAGGGGGGCGAGCGACCCCGGGCCGTGACCCTCCAGGGACCGCATCGCGCCGCTGGAACAGAGGGAGCCGCCAGGGTAAGACATCGCCCGGGTACCTTGCCGGGGTACGGTAGATGAGCCGGTGCTGCTGCCACCCGCCACCGCTGTTTGAGGTTTGATCCAGTTAAAAGCGCGCGCACGGGGAGCTGGTTGGGTTACGTTTGATGAGGTTAGGGCGCCTCGCCTGCCGCTCCCCGCCGCGCCGCCGCGCCCGCCCCCTCGCTTTTCGCTCCCCGCGCGCTCCGCCCGGGAGATACAGACAAACGAACGGCCAAGGGAACATGAATACCGGTAACGGTAAACACATAACGCTGATTAGCATATCAAACGCAAATATTCGGACCGAGATAATATCGTTTCATATTCTTGAAATTTTATTTGCGTTTATTGCTGGCGTGTACCTCTCCGACTAGGGCTGCCGTTTCGCTTCCCTTTTCACCCTTCTGCTAACCCGCAGCCCAGCTGATAGGTTGGAGAGGGAAAAGCTATCGCCGTGCCGAGCTAGCGTTGTTGTATCGGACCTCTCCCTATTCTATGTATTGCAAACGCAAAAACCAAACACTTTTTTTTATTTTTTTTTATCAGTGAGTAATTTTCATTTAAAATGCAGTTGTTTCCTCTTTTGTGGGGTTTGACCTCCTTCGCCGGCCCGGTGTGGTTCTGCGCCGACCTAGTTGTTCCCAGGAGGAAGGAAATCCTCCCGAATTTCTCCCGAAACGGGATACCGGCGAGTCAAAACATCCTTCCTTTTGTTGCCGCGGAGCGGACCGCGACTTAGGCTCAGCGCTTCCCTCCTCAAATCCGATGCAAACTGATAGATGGAATGCTCTGAGTGCAAATCCCCCGGACGGTAACGCAACGTGACGTCTCTTCTCAGCCGCAGCGCGCCAGCCGCAGCGACTTCCTCCCCTTCTTTGCTTCCTTCACGACTTGACCAGCAGCACGGCGCGCCAAAAAGCTTCTGTTTAGGCGTCGTGATTTAGTCCCTCCACGCTTCTCCCCCTCCCCAAAACAACGCAAATCCTCCTCCAACGGCTGCCGGAAAGGGGATGCCGCCCGCTCGACACTCTCTTGACCGGAAGTGGCGCTGCTCTGTCGCGAGGCCAGCCAATGACCCGAGACAAGTCGCCCGCGCCTCATCGCTTCCGGTCCGGTCGCTCTGTTTATGCGTCGCTGGCCCGTGTCCCAAACCCGGTCAAGGGGAGCGACACAGATACAAGTCGTGAAAGGCGGAGAAAAAACAGGCCTCCATAAGAGTTATTCCAAAAATAAGAAAAATCAGACGATACTTGGTTCCGTTTATCGTCGTAGAAAGATATATCTCTCTGGTACAAGGTCGATGTACGCCAGACCAACGTTATGCGTAACATGCTACGCGCTTATCCCACAAAAGGTCGTTACGCTGCGACGCGTTGTTTTTAAGTATTTACTAACAAAATAATCAGTATTATGTACGAAATTTGTAAGTATTACTCGCAAAGTTTATGAGTTTCATTGCTGTATAAATGAGTTCATTGTCCATTTGCAAAATGGCAGTAACGGGCTGAGTGTGCTCGAATCGGACCGTGGTCACTTACATGCGTGCGTGCGCACATTCGTTCGTAGCCTACACACAATCTGACAGACATTTAGACATAATTTTTTCCGACCAACAACGTCGTACCAATAGGCTTCGCAATCGCCCAGCTATGCACCAATCAATTTCAAGTTTGAAGGACGAAAAGAACAAATTAATGCGTGTTCCCCTTATGTTGCGGAGTACCTCGGCTCGGCCTTCGCTCGGCGGTGTGAGGGGCGCCGGGAGGCCCGCCGTAGGCCCCTCACTATGCCGCACCAACTTCATTCCCAGCAACTAATTCAGTGCCGCGGCGCGACCGGCCGCCGGGCGGCATGGCTGCGGGGTGGCTGAGGGGCGCCAGGGGGCGGGGCCGGGCGGCGAGGGGTGGAGGGCGGCCCCGCTCTCTCTCA